ACATCTAGGTACAATTATACAGATTACTGGCCTGTCTCTCTCTTCATTGAGTTACGTAGTCCACTGTACATCCCTTGTTTGTGGCAGATTTGAAGTGGGTAGGAGAGATATATTACTGAGTTATTATATAGAATAGTAGATAGCATGTGTCATTTGTTAGGTTACTAACAATATTAGAAAGAGTAAAAGTGCAATTTCAGTTTTTTTGGTAGTCAAGCTTCTTAGAGTTGAAGGTATCTATATTATAACAGAGAGGGGAGAATGTGAGACGATGGGTCCTATTACCTCAGTGCTTGAAGCCTTGAATATATAGACCTTTCTTATCTCCTCTCAGACATGTGATTTATTTATTTTTCAAATTAAAAAATGCAAAAAAGACCACAGATGAATTCACTCTTAATTCTCTCTACATCCTTCCAGCAGACTCCCTCCCTGATAGATTAAGACAAAGTTAATCCTTCTTAACTCTCTAAAACGCCATTACGAAATGTTTGTCTCGGCTATCTGGGGTCTTTGGTCACTTGGTTATATTATTGTTCATATTCTTGGATCAAATTCTTTAAAATCCCATGCATCATTATAAGAAATTTTGTTGTACTAGAGACGATGAGAACCTACCATTCAATTGGTAAAATCCCTCTCTCTCTCTCTGTTATGAGCACTCACACCACACGGCAGCAGTTGAGGCAGTAGCGCGCACATGACAGACATCGCACGGCAGCGGCAGCATGAGTCGCGCGCACGCACCGCGCGGCGGCAACTACCATGAGCCGTGCGCACGCGCACCAGCAGCAGCAGCAAAGCGGGGCCCACACGACAGCTCATAGGGTGGGCCCACCCTTATCCGGACACGACAAGAGAACGCGCCTTATCCCTTATCCCTTATCCCATTCTCCCTTATCTTATCCCCTATTCTTAGAAGGAATTGTAGTACCATTAAAAGTAAGTAGTCTAATTTGAAGTAGGAGTTTGAGTCCGTTTAGGACTAACCTAGCCTAATCCAACAATGAACCCTCCTCTTGTAATCTCCTATTTAAGGAGACGCTATTATTGAATGAGGATATCGAATATTCAGTCAAGAAAGAGAGTGAAGGAGAGTTTGGTGATCTCTTGGACAAATCACCCCTGAGAGAGTCAAAATAGGGCCTGTACGCAAGGCCAAGGGCAAGGAAAGAACTGAGGTTCCTACGGTGGAGCGACCCGTGACGCGATCCTACGCTCGGGCCCATAACATCTTGGTATCAGAGCCAACCGTCATGGGGGAACAGGAGCCGCTGTCTTTC